TGGAGGCCCTTGAGTTCTGGGCCAGGACCACAACAATTACAGCCAGAAAAAATTGTAAAGCTGTATTATAACAGCCTCCCCAAAAATATTGCTTCAGAGGCCTGGGTGGCTCAGTCGTTAAGTGTCTGCCTTCCGCTCAGGTCATGATCCCAGAGTCCTGGGATCAGGTCCTGCATCAGACTCCTTGCTCAGCAGGGAGCCTGCTTCTCCCTCTGCCTGCCACTCCCCCTGCTTGTGTTCTTTCTCTCTCTCTGACAAATAAATAAAATCTTAAAAAAAATCTTGCTCAAAAAGGTGTAAACTTCTAATTTTAAACAATATAATTTTTAGGCACATCCTCAAAAAAAAAAAACCCTATTGCAATATATATCTAAGTAGCTGAATAAGGTAATGAACTATAAGGCAATCAAATGTTGGGAGAAAACTACCACTAATAGTATTAACTTTGGTTTTGAATGAAATATACTTTCTTTTTCTTTTAGAGTTGATTTTTTTTTTTTAAAGATTTTATTTATTTATTTGAGAGAGAGAGAGAGAGCACATGAGAGGGGGAGGGCCAGAGGGAGAAGCAGACTCCCTGCTGAGCAGGGAGCCCGATGTGGGACTCAATCCCGGGACTCCAGGATCATGACCTGAGCCGAAGGCAGTCGCTTAACCAACTGAGCCACCCAGGTGCCCTAGAGTTGATTTTTTAAAATTGCGATATAATTGACATATTAGTTTCAGGTGTACAATGTAATGATTTGATATCTGTATATACTGCAAAATGGTCACAATAAATCTAACATCCATCACCATTCATAGCTAACTTTTTTTTCCTTGTGATGAGCACTTTTAAGACCTACTCTCCTAGCAACTTTCAAATATGTGATACAATATTGTTAACTACAGTCAATGCTGTACCTTTTCTGACAGTATTTAACCAGTCAGGGTCAACAACTTATTAAGGATATTCTGAATTCCCATAATAAAACCATGTCATCTGCATGTAAAAGATTATTTATCTCTCTGTTCTCTATGGTGAGATGTAGTCCACATCTGGTTAGTAGAACAGTAAAATTTTTGAGATGTGAAGTTCTTTGTTCCTTTGATGGGAAGATTTTGGGGTTGGGGAGGGGTTGGGCTTTGCTCCTCATTTTGGGAAATATTTCCTTTTTTATTGTTTTTGTAATAAAGTTCAAACTTAAATTTTATGAATTATGATATGTGTCCTTTCCTCTTCCTTTTTAAACCAGCATCACAATATAAAGATGGTTTAAATCAAGTACATGTTGGTGGGTGGGAAGGAAGGGTTTTACCTCATACATGAGGAATCCTGTCTTTACCTGAGCATGGCCACAAAAGATACCTTATCTTGTTATGCTTGGACTTGTACCAAGGATCCAGGAAGGATCTATAAACCTAACACAAAGGATCGTGTGTAGTTAGTGTAACTCTGAAGAGGGATATTGTTAATTTTCTTCCAGTATCACATTAATTTTCATCTAATTTAGAATTCCCATTTGATAACCTAAAAACCTTGAAAGTTCGAGGTAGCTCTTCCTTTACACTCGACCGTGACCTTTACACAACAGAAAAAGAAACAGCACTGGATAGGGAACCAGAAAGTGCAGGCTCCAGTCTTGATCTTGCTGCTTGCTAGAGATTAATCTCTTTGAGTCTTAGTTTCTTCAACTCGACAAGTTAATATCCCCTGCTTCAGAGTTATTACATTTTGAAAAGCACAAGACAGAAGGTAAATATAGGCTAACATCATTATATTAGTAGTAACTATTATCTTTAGGTTGCATTCTAAATATAAAAGATAAAGCCTAGAGTATAGTGGTGCTTAGGCTTCGGGAAAATACAGGGACGTGAAGTCAGCAAAAACTAAGAAATGGGAAAATGGACACATTGGTAATTACAGAAGATTTTTTAAAAGGGCAGTTTCGATGTTAAAAGGTCACTATAACCCTTTAAGTTGTTTTTCTAACCAAATCACACATTCTCAATTTGGATGTAGTAGACATCTGTTGTATTTTTCTTCCTTGTAACCTGCCCCCTTCTGGCAACAGCAATCGCTTTCCTTGAAGAACTGCTTTTCCCAAATTCCATGGCTTTCTGTTGGGCTGCTTTAGCGCGGTTACTTTATTCAACTGGCTAGGGGTGGGTATGCCCAGGGATTTGCAGGTGACCCAAGCCAGGGAAATCAGCATCCGTCCTTGAAATTGTTTAGATAGATCCTGATAGGGGGAAATCTCTTTTCTCTGGAATTCTAAGTGGGATTTTTAAAATTTTGGAACTCTTTTGTCTGTATAATAAACAACTATATCCTCTCATTCTACATTTCTTGCTGCACAGAGACCCTGGAGGTTGGGCACTAATATCATTTTTTAGGGGATCTGAAACCATTTCTCCCACACCTTCACATTTTTCTTCTAAACACTACATCTGTTTACTAGATAATGTAGTTTGTAAGCAGTTAAGAACATGTATTATTAAAGGGCGCAGAATTTTTTTTTTTTAAAAAACTGGGTAACCTCAGGGTGCCTGGGTGGCTCAGTCGGTTAAGCTCTTCATTTCTGCTCAGGTCAGGTCATGATCTCAGGGTTGTGAGATCGAGCCCCACGTTGTGCTCCCTGATGGACCTGGAGCCTGCTTAGGATACTCTCTCCCTCTCCCTTTGCACCGGCCCCCCGAAAAAAAACCCCACAGGGTAACCTTAAGTAAAAAAAAAATCTCACACACTTTCACTTTAAAAAAAAAAAAACCAAGTCTATTTAGTAAACAGTAAAATCTTCAGGTACCTAAAATACTTAATTTGTTATCACAAAATATCTAATTAGCATTTAAATTTTCCACATTGTCTTAAAATTTTTATTTTAACCTTTGTTTTGTTTGAATCAGAATTCAAACAATGGAGCAAAGTTGTTGTTGTTTTAATTTTTTTTACCAAGCCCCCCGGCCTAGGCCCGGTTACATTTTACCTCTCTCCAAAATAGATATTTCCTTGTCACATTCCCATGAGCAATAGAATTTAGAAATTAATTCAAAGTCTCTTTATGGGCTTTACAAATATCAGATGAGGTTCTGGTAATGAAATTTTGGGGCAGAAGTAATAAAGTTACCCTTGGATATTAGAATCCAAAAGGGAGCAGCGACAGCAAACATTTATTTTGATTTTGCAAACTTGGGTATTTCCTTACCTTAATCTGTTTTAACCTGGTAGAAAACAAAAGGACCCCCACTGTTCTGTTTGCCAATATCTAATAAAATACTGAAAATTTCTAAGGGCAAATGCATTAATGTATTTACTTAATTATATTTATTAGAAATACCTTTACAACTAACATTCTTTATTTACAACTAACATTCTTATCTTCGTCCTATATGTCTTTGTTCTCAAGTACAATGAAAGAGAGAGAATATCATCCTCTTTAGGTATAAATGAATGTATTTATTTTGCTTCAACTCGAATATGAAAGGATTAAAATACTGTTACTCACAGTCCCACAAGTTTCTTCTTCCAAAGCGGAGGTGCCAAAGGATGAGGAGTTAAGAGACTTTTAGTCATGCATCACCTTCACCCAGCTCATCAAATAAATGAACAATACAAGTGATCCATGTGCCTGCTAAGCAAACTCAGCATTTTGGCAAGACACCCCCCACCCCCCCGCCCAACCAGACCATTATCCTTAAAGTACTCTTGGAGTTAACACTGACCCCAACCATAGTAATCTAACATTTACTTACTTCATTATTTCAGACCCCCACTCTCTTAACGGAGCTACTGAATCCAAACGTAGTTTGGGGTTTTTTGTTTCTTTTGGGGGGGTTGGGCTTTTTTCGAGCGGGGGGGGTGGGGGCATATATTTATTATTCTCACTTTACTATTAAGATCTGGAAAAGTTAAAAAAAAATCTGTCTCATGAGCATCCACTAGTTGCATCCACTTTGCCTGGGGACTCCAAACGTTTAAAAGCCACCACCCCGGCCGTCCACTTTTACAGCACCCTCCTTTCCCGGTCCTTGCTTGTCGTATCAGCACTGGGTAAGTGCCCAGGTTCTGATCTGGGACTAAAACTCATGATCTTCTGGCTCAGGTTCTGTGAACTGAGTCATTCTGGCACGGAGAATATTCCGTGACTCAGCAGGCCCGAAAAGGAGGATGTCAGATGCAGATAATTTCGAGTCTTTTAAAGGCAAGATGGGGAACATAAACAACACAGTGGAAGAATTTCGCAGTGGGTCTGCCTACCCAGGGGAAAAATGTCATTCCATTCCCAGCCCTTTCACTTCCTTCTCTGCCCCTGTTGAAGGATGGGTTACACCTTAGAGGCAGGAAATTGCTTCAGAAAATTCATTTTGATGCTGAGACCAAGGCCCTGAATTCTCCGGGGACCGTGTATGTCCCCGGACGCCCCGGGACCTCTCCTTGGAAAAGGCTAGAGCCCCGCCCCGCGCAGCAGGGGGCATTCCCGGGGCGGCCCGCGGGGGCGAGGAGCCTGCGCGCAGCTCCCAGCGTCCGGTCCCTCGGGTCCCGGCCCCAGGGCGCGGCCGGCTGGACGCAACGACCGACACCTGGTGGGGCGGAGATCCGCGTTGCCGCGGCCCCGGGTTGGCGCGGGGCCCAAAGGCCGATTCCAAGTGACCTCACCGACCCAGCGTCGCCCCTTTAAGGCTCCCTCCATTACCCCTTCCCCCCACCGGAGTCCTCCGGAGACGCGGAGCTAGGGGACCCCGGCGTCCGACTCCCCCAGGGCGCGGGCTCTCCTTAGCCTCCCCTTCCCTCCCGTCATGCACCGCCCCGCCGCCCCTCCTTCCCCCGCTCTCCCTCCGCCTCTCTCTTCCCCCTCCCATTCCCCGATCCCCCACCCCTTCCCTCACTCCCCGCCCACCCCTCGCACCCCTCAAGGCCCCTCCCCCGCCGATCCCGCGCCGCGGGCCCGAGCGCGAGATGCCGCCGCCCCCGCCGCCGCCGCCGCCGCCGCCGCGAGTCGCCCGGGCGGACGCTCAGTCCACGGCGCGAGGAGGGCGGGGGAGCAGCTACGGGGGCCGCGGGAGCTGTTGAGAGGAGGCCGGGGTTGGGCTTACTCCTCCGCCAGACCCCACCCCACTCTGCCGACCCCACCCCCTGCTCCTTCCTCCCCGGGGGCGCGCTCTCGGGCCCGCGCTCGGAAGTCGGGGGTCGGCGCCGAGTGCGGGCTGCGTTGCGGGTGGGTGAGGGAGGCGCGGAGGCGGCGAGCCGGGCAGTGGCCACCGAGCCGCGCGGTCGTCGCCAGCGGCGCCCACTGGCCCGTCTCTCCAGTACGAGCCGCCGCCACCACCCGCCCCGAGAGTCCGGCCCCTGGGCCCCGAGGCTCAGCCCGCAGAGCGGCCTCCCCGGGACACCGCTGGGCGAGAGGAACGCGCCCGCGCCCTTGCCTTCGCCGTGGCCCAGCGCGCGGGCGGCGGGATGAAGGGCAGCGAGCCGGCCGCGCCGGCGCTGCGGCCCCGGGGGCGGCTCTGGCCGGTGTTGGCGGTGCTGGCGGCCGCTGCGGCCGGCTGCGCCCGGGCAGCCATGGACGAGTGCACGGACGAGGGCGGGCGGCCGCAGCGCTGCATGCCCGAGTTCGTCAACGCCGCCTTCAACGTGACCGTGGTGGCCACCAACACGTGCGGGGCTCCGCCCGAGGAGTACTGTGTGCAGACCGGGGTGACCGGGGTCACCAAGTCCTGTCACCTGTGCGACGCCGGGCAGCCCCACCTGCAGCACGGGGCAGCCTTCTTGACCGACTACAACAACCAGGCCGACACCACCTGGTGGCAAAGCCAGACCATGCTGGCCGGGGTGCAGTACCCCAACTCCATCAACCTCACGCTGCACCTGGGTAAGCGGTGACAGCCCTGTTCCTGCTGCTTCTGCTCGCCAGCAGCCCAGCTCCCTGGCCATCTTCACCTCCTGGCCCAGCCTGCGGGGCCCAAACAGCCGCATGCTGGCTCTCTGCTCCCCAGCATGGGCCACACAGATATTCCCCTTTCCAACTTCTAAACTAAATCTAGCACTTAACATTCCGCCGAGGGCCAGGATGCCTCGCGCTAGCATCTTTGTTTGCTTTTCTGTTCTTTCTAATTTAACCAGATTTTCGCTTCCTTGATGATTCGCCATTTGGTCTGTTTTTGTCCATTTTTTTCGGAAGCGTTGATCAGAAACCCCTAGTCTCGCTTTTCTCCCTCCTCGCAGGGCCATCACGGAGCGTTCTTGGATCAGAGATAGGAAGGTCCACCTTCAGCACTTTTATCTTGTTTAAATGCCTCTCTCTCCAGGATTGAGCGTGATTGCTGTTTGCTCTATTGAATAAGCTAGAGAGCAAAGGGTCTCTAGTGAAGGGAATTTGAGAGAAGCAAATGCTTTTACTACCGGTATGGCCTATGTGTAACTAAAATAGAAATTCGCTTTTAAAGTTATTGTTCTTTAGAGTTGTTTAGCGGTAATTAAGGACCACAAAACTATTTCACTGCTACTCCTGGAACAGAGAAAACAAAAGAAAGTGTGCACTCGCTGTAATTTCTGGCCACAGTTTGGTCCCTGGGTATAGAGGCTCTCCTTACTGTCTTTCCTTTTACTTTGATTCAAAACGAGTGTAGCAACATGTATGAATGACCTTTTAGAAATCAGGAAAAGGATGTATAGAAAACTTTTTTGCTGGGTGGTAGATGAGGATGGACATTTTATCCTAAGGTAAAAAAATCATGTTTGGTCTAAGTAAGTTTTTCTTCATCACTGAACTATATAAACAAGCAGAATAATTCATTATTGTGTTTAACAGAGTAAAATATGTGTGAGAAACTGGCATCTGATTTGTAGAGCTGCAGTCCCCATTGCATTGAAATAATTGATTTTCCTGGTAGCTGGTAGTAATGAACTTCCAGAGAGAACATAGGGCCCAAGCCATTCTTTGGTCAAAGCCAGATCATCCTGTAAGGCTAGTATTATTTGAGGGTCTTTGAAAGGAATGTTTTATAGGCAAATAGTTCTTTTGGTCATGGTTTTGCATTTTTCTTTCCACTGCTCTCTGGCACATTAGATTCTATGTAAGTGTCAAGATTCCAGAGAAAGAATATAACTTACCAAAAGTACCTTGAAAAGTAGTTAAATTACTGTGTGTGGAGTAAGTTTTAGAAAAGCAGTGTTTAGCAGCTTTGTAATACCATTTTATTTCTAGACAAGTTATTAGGAAGATGAACTTTTGGAAAATAAGTTCATAAAGTGAAACTCTGGGGCCCCTGTTTTTCAGAGATGGAAGAAGTAAACTGTACTTCAGTGTTTTAAAGGTGTTGGAAATGCCTAGAACCAACAGTATGTTGGAACAGGTGCCTTTCTAAGACACAGCAAGAGACCTAGGGTCTTCTAAGACTTCATGGGAATACTCTTTAACTCTAGACAGCTATATGCTCTTAGGTGTTATATTTTTAAACTTGGCCAAAATTATTTTTGAAATTTATATCCAATTATTTTTGTGGAAACTTTGACTTATTAAAGTTTCTGTGTTGAATTTGGAATGCCCACCAAGTTTTACTTAATCTATTTTCAAATACTAAAAATTTCAAAGTGAAAGCATTTGAGTGCCTGAGATTCAACTGAAAATTTCAGAATACGAATCTGTTATTTAGGTAAAGGTCAGGCTGTCAATCTTGGCCTTCTGAGTTTTCTGCTCTGGGCACTGTATAGCAAAAGGCTATTTCAGGTGATTGCAGAGGTAGGTAGATTACTCAAAGATTATTTCTCTGTTACAAAGGTAAAAGATAAGACAGTAACAGTCAAGTTAGGTTGTTACTCTTGGGGAGCAGATATATTAATTTTGGGTCATGGTCATTTAAAGGTCAAAAGAAATCTCAGAGGCCATCTACTTAGGACTCTTACATGACTTTGTACCCTAAAAATGTATGCTTGGACTTGTTTTTGCTGAAAAAATCTTCTTCAGTTTTTGGTAATATTCGTGGTAAATGAAGTTCATAAAACTATGGGTTTAAAAAAAGTTATTTAAAATAGTTTCCATATGAGTATTGTGATTAACTGTGAAAACATTTACTTGAGACTTTTAAGATAGACAGTTTCTAAAAGCCTGACTAGAACTTACTGTACTTTTTCTTGGATCCTAAATGATGTCCCAGAGGAATTTGTGTGTGGTTGAAAAGGTGGAAAAGGGGAGGGAGATTTGTGTGTTGTGGGGGTGATGTCTCAATCTCTCTCTCCCCCCCCCGCTTCTTTTTTAATGACAAGGATGTATGTATACATGGAAGTTATGATCTAGAACATATAGGCAGGGCTTTATATATCATTGTGTGTTTTGATGTTCAGCATATTCAGTTCCTAACATCAGTTACTCCATGGGCTCTATCTAGCTCATTGTTTCCCATGAATTCAAGTACCATGACTGTTTGTGCATCTATTAAATCTCCCATCCAGTTCAAATTTCACATACCCTTAAGCAAGTGATGCATATTGTGCTTTGCCCTTACAGAGCCTGTGAAACTCCCAAGAGAGCAGTGTGAAAGAAGCAGGGCTAGCCAACACTTTTCTCCCCTCCCTTTTGATGTTGAACTTTAAACGCAGTAAACTTTAAAATAAGCAAAGTCAGACTGCACTTATGTCGTTACAAGAAACATACATGTTTTGGCATTAATCGTAGGTCATTTTTTTACTGTAAAAATAAAACATGACATGGTGAATTAAAACAGTTACATATAATGACTAGGGAATCTCTTCCTCTTCAGTTGCAAAGTTGGAAGAGACCACCATTCACAATTTCTCATGCAGCCTTCCAGAAACTTTTCATGCATACACATGTATATATAAAATTACGTTATTGTTTTAACTGCTACCATTTGGGGGGGTGTGGTCGGTAAGGCAGATTTTAACTGATGGCAAGGACAAATTAGATCATTGTACCATTATCATCACTTGTACAGAAGCCAGGAAAATCAGTGTGGATTCTGAAAGCAGCCATGTCTTAAGCACCATATACAGTAATCCAGGGTGCAGTGTATCCTCAGATATAATCAGTTCAAGTTGCTGTGGGAACAAGAATTGCATTTTCTGTCTGTTGTGGAGAGAAATCTCAGCCAGGCACCCTGTTCTAAAAAGAAGTCTTATTTTGCATTCAACTTCTGGATCTTTCCTAACTTCTGTATGGATTATTCATCTGCTGTTTAAAAGTTTGGCTTTTATGTTATATAATAAGTCATAATAAGTTTTATTAGTATCAGGGGGATAGTTGATAGTAAGATTGTAGCTGAGGATTTGACTTTTATTAAATAGCCTTTTTAATTAACTTGATAGTCATTGTGGATGGAAACTTGGCAGGCTGGGTCTGAATCTTAGAGGAAGGTAGCTCTCCCCCTTTCTGAAAACAATTAGATTAAGGAAGAAACTGCTTATAAACCAACTCAATCAAAGTTTATGGAACTCCTAAAATTTACACCAAGACCAGATTTGTTTCCAACCTCCTTCTATAAGCTTTAGGAACAGTGATTAAGTGATGCTTTTTAGGTGTTTCTTCTTTGTGTGTCTAAATCAGAATAATTGATATGTAAGGATACTGCATTTTATTCTGTTCCTTTCAGTGTATATTTAAAATGAAACAAACAGCAATTTTTTTCCCCAGGACAATCTTTGCAAGGTAGGTTCTGACTGTGTCAGGGAATAGTTCACTCTGGTGACTTCACTGTGGTATTTGCACACCCCGAGGGGACACTATTTTAGTTTGTCTCACAAAGGACTGATTTACATGTTGCAGGTTTCAACTTGAGAAGTTAGGGAGCTCTTCTTTAATGGCCAGCGATAGTTGAACACAGTTTTATAAAGTTGCTGTTGGCTGTTTTCCTTTTCTATAATTCATGGCTTTTTCTGTAAATACCTTCTCCATGTTTCTAAAGCATTCAGAGAAACAATTTACGCATTAGGAGAGAAGTTGGGACTATAAGCACCCACCCCCCGTTATTTTCTCACTGGCCACAGTTGTGGGAGGGTTGGTTTGACTATTTCAGTTCTAAATCCTTTTAGGAAGTTGGATATGCCTTTTGCTATGTGCTCCTTCCCCACCCCCCCATGCATACATTCTCATGTTACTACCAAATATTCTGCAAACATTTTTTAAATACCTACTAAATACATAGTACAGTACCTGATAGGTATACAGGATTGAAGGTCGTGTCTTCAGAAGTTTACACTCTTAGATGGAATTTTCGTACTCTGTCGTAATGATGATGATAAATCAGGAGTGCTTTTATAATATTTTACACTTTATGAAACTTTCAGTTTATCACTGATTAGACTTCCACAACTCAGTGAAAGCAAAGATGAGGATCCTGAGGTGGTGATTTGCCAAAAGTCGCAGTGGAGGTAGGTGTTTGACTCCTTAGTCTATTGCACTAACCCCTGCAACTCTTTGCTTCTTTAACAGATCTTTCAGAAGAGTGACTAGTTTATTCCAGGCCAGCTTTAAAATACAAGTTCAGGTACACACTAATTCAGAGATGTCAGACTCCCTTGGTTTTCCTCCTTTTCCCTCTGTTCTTTTTCACTTATATTTTTGGATTCCTTTCTTTTTCATGGGACTCACTTTCCTTGAGTGAATTCCTCTTAGTCTCAAGGCATTATTTACTGTTTGCAAATTAATAAATTCTAAACTTGTATCTCTAGGCCAGCTCTTACTCCAGTCCTAAAGACTTATTGGCCATGGTCAGTTTGGGGTGTCCAAAGGCCATGTCCAAAACTATATTCATTCTTCACTGTCTTACCCAACTCAAAGTCATATCTCAATGAATGCACTACTGTTTAATCCTAAGGCTCTAGACCAGTTTTTTGCCAAGTCTCTCATAAAAGATA